TAAAGCAAGTGCAACAAGGAGGCCTCAAACAGTGAGAGGCCCTTAAACAAAAGTGAAAAGGAGCTCAAAATAAGCCTAACTCCAGTTAGGGTCAGAGCCCAAAACAGCAAGCATAAGGAGCTAGAATAGCATGCAAAATATGGAGCAAAAATGGGGAAATAGAGCTTACCCTTGTAGACCAATCCTTGGCACCCCTTTGGCTTGAGTTGCAGCACTCTTAGGCCTTGAAGAACAACCTCCAGCTGCTGTAATGGAGGATGGAAGGGTGGGGCTTGGTGATGGTGTGGAAAGGGGTATAGGACTTGAAAGGTTTTGGACTTGGAATAGAGAGGGAGAGAGATACAATGCCAAGGGCTTGAGGCAAAATTTTCCAACCCTAATATCAGAGCTGGAGCTTCTGTTATATAGGCAAAAATGGGGGGAAAAGGGGGGAAAATGGAGGGAAAACAATCCAAGTTTCCCTCCAAAAATGCACCCCCCCGGATACACAATCTGGGGGGAAAAGAGATGCATACTCGGAATGTGCCTGCTGCAAGGAGCATGGTCGGCCGGTTATTGAGGTTGCAGGTGGCCGGCCGGCTACCTCCCATGGCCGGCCGGCCATGGTGTAGACACCCCATTTTTGACCGACCTTAAGACTTAGACGTCACCGATTGAGCGCTTGGTGATGCTGCATAATGTGCTTGTTCAGAAGTCTCAGAGTCGCGGCTGCGAGCCCTGCCTCCGGGCTTCCGAACCCTCTTTTGTGCCTTGTCTTGGTCGGTTTGCGAACCCGACTCGGTTTTCTCTGTTTCTTTTCCTGAAGGGAGGGAGAGGTCGCGTAGACCATCTCTCAATGTCCGTAGGCTACATTTGGTGGCCGTAGGCCATTTTGCCCATTTCGGAGTCCGGTTCCCGGTTTTCGGAGCCGTCAGGCCGTGTGCCTCGGTTCGGGACCGCTTAACCATCTCCTATTGCTCTGATTTTTGGTATGCTTCCTATTTTCTCCCTTTCACTAGGGTCTGAGAAACCCACTTCGAGGTCAAATACCATTTTCGGTGCTTAACAGCCCATTTTTCGGGACCCCGAACTGCGTGTTTTGGCCCCGAAACATTCGTTTTGCAACGGTTTTTGCTCATTTTTTGCAGGTACCTCTGTTTTATCACAAGGAAGGTCACTGAAGGGTGGGAGGCCAGCAATTGTTGCAGCAACCAGTTATCTGTCCTCCGGAGCCTCCCGGCGCCCGTTTTTCCGACTTCCGGGCTAATGTTGAATACCCTGGAGCTAGTGTTGCCAACTTTCAACCACATATCTTTGATCTACACATCTGGGAGGCCACTAAAAGTTCATGGCCGGCCAGTAAGGTCACCTGACCCTTTTGACCCCTTCC